CAAACACATAATTTATTATGCATTCCAGCTCATCAAGACTTCACGACATTTAAGTCAAATGAATGACAATGACTTACTTGTTGCACATTTAAAAAAAAACAGAATTGAGACTACTTAAAATCTGATAACCGAATTGATATTTTCTTATAAATATGAGGAGCATTCGAGAGTTTTAACCTATATTATTATTTATTATTATTAATTATTAATAATAATTAGTAGTATTATTATTATTAATTATTGATGTTATTATTTAATATTATTAATGATGATGATGATTATTATTAATTATTATAAGTATTAAATGTGAATGTATTATTTGATTAGATGATAATGAAATTATTATTTATATTAAAACTAGTGCCGTCAAAATGGGTTGAAATCCATGAGCCAACCCGGCTCACCACGGGTTTGAGCCGGGTTGGGTTGGAAAAAAATACAAAATTTTTTATGCGAGCCAATTTTGACCCGGCTCACTAAGAACCCGGCTCACACGGGTTGAACCCGTGGTGGGTCGGGTTGGCTCACCAACCCACCTATTTTTTTAATTAAATTAAATTAATTATTTAATTCCTATTTCTTTTTATTGAAATCAAATTAATTAATTAATTATTCAAAATGCACAACCTTTACTTAGCAATAAAGTACGCTACTGTCTTTCCAAAAGTTTCCATCTGCAAATAAAACCCTAAGATTATAAATTGGATAATATTATAGATGGAGATAAAGAAGAAGATGCTTCAAGAGAGCATAATACTGTGGATTTATCCATTCAGGACTCCAATTTAATAGATGGATAATATTATAGATTGGATAATTCAGGAATATATCATTTGTTTTATCTTGTTTTTAGACCTATCTACAAGCATGACAGTTTTATCTTGTGCTATATATTTTTGTTAACAGCTATATGTAGTTTCTTGGTCAAACGATTATCTATATCTCATTAAACTAAATTTGGCAAAATTTTATGCTTGATAGCTTAGAATATATATAACAATATATTTCTTTTGTTTCATTTTCTTTTATATCAATTATTCCAATTATTACTGTTTCAATTTGATCGATCAAAGTAACATATTATAATTATCTAAGAAGAAGAGGGTGAAAAAAGTTAACTAAGTGAGCCAATGAGCCAACCCGTTTAACCCACCAACCCGTGGTGGGTCGGGTTCGAATTTTTTGGCTCGCTAATAAATGAGCCGGGTTGGGTTGGCTCACTAAGTGACCAACCTGTGGTGGGTCGGGTCGGGTCGGGCCGGGTTACTCGTTTTGACAGCTCTAATTAAAACATAATTAAATTACTAAATTAATTAAACATACGTCCTTAATTAGAATACTACAAATTACTATATATTTCTACATAAGCTTGATACACATACAAAAACCTAAACCCATAAATTAAATAATTAAACTAATTATTTTTACTTAAGTGGTGTATGCATTTTGAAGCCCTTTTTTATTCGTACCTAGTGTTTGTAATATACGTGAGTTAAATATATTTTTAGTCCCTCAACTTTAAGTGAAATTAGAACTAGTCAATGTTTAAAATTTTGGACTAATTTAGTCCCTCATTTTTATAAATACTTGAATTTAGTCCTTTTAATCAAATTTTGTTAAGTTTATTTAAGATTTTAAATGTGTTTTTCAACTAACATTAAAGAAAAAAAAATGTGCTAAATGTTACCAATAAGGAGTATTGGTAAATCTTGAAGAAATTTGTTTTGATGATGCTACAAGAAGTTTTAGTTGCAGAAGATATTAGAATTAGTTAAAAGCAATTTGTAGAAATTAAATGTAGTAGGAAATTCTTGTAAACCTTGTAAACTTGCATTTTTAACTACAATAATCGATTATGATTAAGCAATAATCGATTATCACAAGTCATACTTGAATAATCGATTATCACTTCATATAATCGATTATCACATTTTTGAAAACCTATAACGGACTTGAATAATCGATTATCACTTACAATAATCGATTATTCATGGCAGTTGGGAGCTGACCTTTGGCACTCAGTGTACTTGGCTATATATTTTGTTTTGGAGAAATTAGAAAGGAACGTTTTTTGAACTGAGAAAGCTTAGAACACTGTGTGTCAGAGGAACGTTCTTAAAGAGCTTTTTGTTCATTGTTCCCTTGCTTGGTCTTGTGAAAGGAGAGGCTCGCGTATCGTGTGTCGATAGTCGGAGCAGACTCTCCTCAAGTTAGCAAGGTGCTCTGCCTGGTCTTGTGAAAGGAGAAGCTTGTGAATCGTTGGTCGATTGCCGGAGCGGTTCTCTTCAAGTTGGTAGAGTAGTTCTTTTCATTTTATTCCTGTTCATTATCTTGTAATCTGTGAAACCATTTTTAGTGAAAAAGGTTAATCACTATTTATAGTGATTAACGACTGGACGTAGAATCTTTTGATTCGAACCAGGATAAAAATTCTGTGTTGATCTTCTTATTCCCTACACTCACATTATTTTACGTATATCAACTGTTTGATTAATTTTCTGAAAGAAAATTATTTTTACTAAAAGGACCAAATTAATTTTAATTGTGATCGAACACGCTTTCCGCTCTCTGAGTTTTTAATTCCGCTGCGCTATACTCTTCGAAAAATACCCCCTCCGATACCATCACTAAATAGGGTAAACAACTCAAATGACATCATAAAATGTGTTTGAAACATCAAATAAACTTAACAAAATTTGGTTAAAATGACTAAATCCACACGTTTCTAAAGTTGAGGAACTAAATTGGGCCAAAGTTTCGAAAATGGACTAATTCTAATTTTCACTAAAAGTTAAGAGATAAAAAACATATTTAACTCTATTTAATTCAATCTCATTGGATTGATTAAATCCAAAATCATGAATATCAAAGTCCTAGTAATTCAATAACCAAAGACAATTGCATTTTTCTCATCATAACCACTAAATCTCCATAATCACGTCTAGTCGAGCTCCACACCACCTTTGCCAAGCTTAAAGACGTCTGGTCGAGCTTATTGGCATCCTTGTCAAGTTTAATAAACATTGATTGAGCTCAATAAAAATAATCCATAAATGTGATGTTTGACTTTTCTTTATTTTTATTTTCTCTTTTTTCCTTGTATAAACACTTGAACTTTAATACAACATTATTACAATTTACAATACACAAATACAATGTGATACATAATAGGAATATAATTATATTTTCACCTTTATTACCCTAAAATATCCTTAATTGAAGAGAGATAAAAATCTTTGCATCCTACTAATCGTGTCCTTCTCACTCACTCTTAAATCCATTAAAAAGAACATATATATCACTCACAAATCATTCCTTTCCTTATTTAAGGGAATGTTTTATAAATAATCATTTTATTGTTGTCCGTAATTTAATAGTTTTTAAAATGTAAATATCACTTTTAACAACAATAAATTTCACTTTTGATGTAAAGATAAGATAGTTTGTAACTACAGAAATAAAAAGAAAATGCTATATGATTTAAATAAAAATTAGGGTTAAAAACCAAGTGCACCCACCAATGCCATTACCAATCATTAAAAACCAAGTGTCTCAACACTTTTTTTTCTCTCCCTTCGCTTTCTTTTATGCTTTCCCTCTACCAAATTTAAGTGCAATCAAACCAAACATAATGTCCTGTTTTTGGAGCACAGTTAATTAAGTGCAATCAAACCAAACATAATTCAAGTAATAATAATAATAATAATAATAATAATAATAAATATTTATATATATATTTTTCTTTTTTGATAAAGACTGAATCACAATATTGTTCTTCTCTTACGAAATGCTGCACTTAATCACGTGCTGATGTCCAATTGGGCCAGTCTTCCACAGCGTACGCGCTTGCTTCTTGTCAATGTTGCTACCCACAACAGCTTCAAAACGCAAACATAAGATTATGTAACGATGAGCGATGAAAACATGATAATGCAGGATTCAACAACGTTTAACTTCCAAAACTTAAGATAATACAGTTTTGTAACCCTAATCCTCCCGAAAACCTTTTAAATTTGATTTCTTCTATCATTTCACTCTCCTTTCACAGTTATGAAATGGGACCATCCATTGCATTATTATGCAACAAAATGAGGACATCCTGGTACAACACACGTCAAGGGAAAAAAATTTAAATCAGATAAGCCCAAAAATTAAAACGGATCACTGTAACGGGACTAGTTTAGTGTCACCATCAAAACCTAGCTCCATGCCGAAACAGTTAGCTTGTGGGCCTTCTAAATATGCATCCAATGTTCTCCTGTTCGTATTATCCTTTGACGTCCCCAAAACGCACTCAACAAAATTCCATGCCAATTTTTAAATTATATAATTTTCGTGCATTATCTATATTTGTGCCCCAAATCTATTCCAAGTACAACTCATATGCGTCGGAATCATTTTTTATACATATTTTAAACCCTTTGCAATTAGTTTAAACGTCTCCTCTAATCAATTTTTTTAACACATTCATCTTAATGCTTTCACTTGTTAAACAAAATTATGAAGTTTTGTAAGATTTACTTCCTATTGTTCAATCCGTTTCATGCATACCATATACTGTAATTAGTTAACCAAACAAAAGCGTTGAATATTCTCCTGATTCTAATTAAATTCTTAAAAATTCCATAACCATCATTATTAGAAACTTTACCACAAATTGACCCCTCTCACTCTCATTCTGTCTGCTCACATCACATACTCACTCACTCCTATTATTTAAATCCAAACAATGATTAATTACTCCAAAACCTTTTCGTAACCCAACCGCACCTGTTACGAGTTTCAGATCCCGAATGCATTAAAACCCTTACCACGTGGCACAACTGCATTGGGTGGGGGAATTCAATGGTGAAGATCTTTTAGAGGACCAGGCAGGGTAGTTTGATCGTACGGCAGGGAAGAGAGAACCGCTCAAACCTCAGTGGAAACGACTTCGTACTCTGCCACCGAGGTCTGTGTCCGTGGAACAGTGTGAGTGAAGAGAGAGATATAATATAAACCCACAGCGCGCACCATTCTCCACTGTCCAAGGAGATCAAGCACCAAAGCCAAGACCTTTCTCTCTCTCTCTCTCTCTCTCTCTCTCTCTTCATCTTTCTCTTTCTCTCACTTTTTTTGTTGTTGTTGCGGTTTGGTTATTCCATCGGTGTGTGCGGTTCGGGTTTTCATTATGGATCCGGGTGGGATGATGAACGAGGGTTCCTTTGCGAATAATGGGAGCGGCAATACGGCGCCGTATAGCTTGGCGGAGATCTGGCAGTTTCCCCAAGCGATTAATGGCGGCGGAGGATTGGGTCTCCGGAGCCCGCAGTTCGAACATGGGCCGGGGCAGTTTGGGGATTTGCCTCCCAGGCCCAACAATGGGCTTGGGACGAGTAACACCAGAAAGCGGCGAGACTCAGAGGACGATTCAGCTAAGACCGTGTCCACCAGCAATGCCGTGGTACATATTCGCTCACTCGGCGTTTGTTATTTTGTTTTGTTTACTTGAATTGATTGAGGATGTGGTTAAGGGTTGTTTGGATTGCGCAGAATGAGGGTGATGGAAAACGTGTTAAAGCAACGGCAAATGGTGATGGTAATGGTAAAGGTGAAGGAGAAGTCAGTTCAGGAAAGCCTGCGGAGCAAAGCGCAAAGCCTCCATTGGAACCTCCCAAGCAAGATTACATTCACGTCCGAGCCAGAAGGGGTCAAGCCACTGATAGCCACAGTCTTGCAGAANCTCTCTCTCTCTCTCTCTCTCTCTCTCTCTTCATCTTTCTCTTTCTCTCACTTTTTTTGTTGTTGTTGCGGTTTGGTTATTCCATCGGTGTGTGCGGTTCGGGTTTTCATTATGGATCCGGGTGGGATGATGAACGAGGGTTCCTTTGCGAATAATGGGAGCGGCAATACGGCGCCGTATAGCTTGGCGGAGATCTGGCAGTTTCCCCAAGCGATTAATGGCGGCGGAGGATTGGGTCTCCGGAGCCCGCAGTTCGAACATGGGCCGGGGCAGTTTGGGGATTTGCCTCCCAGGCCCAACAATGGGCTTGGGACGAGTAACACCAGAAAGCGGCGAGACTCAGAGGACGATTCAGCTAAGACCGTGTCCACCAGCAATGCCGTGGTACATATTCGCTCACTCGGCGTTTGTTATTTTGTTTTGTTTACTTGAATTGATTGAGGATGTGGTTAAGGGTTGTTTGGATTGCGCAGAATGAGGGTGATGGAAAACGTGTTAAAGCAACGGCAAATGGTGATGGTAATGGTAAAGGTGAAGGAGAAGTCAGTTCAGGAAAGCCTGCGGAGCAAAGCGCAAAGCCTCCATTGGAACCTCCCAAGCAAGATTACATTCACGTCCGAGCCAGAAGGGGTCAAGCCACTGATAGCCACAGTCTTGCAGAACGAGTAAATTTTTGTTCTTTTGTTTGTTTTCTTAATGGGTTGTTCTGTTAAAAATGTAAAGTGAAGATATGGTAGTATGGGTTTGCCTTTTTTATGTTAATTTAAAGGGGAAATTGAGTTTAAGGTGTGATTGGATGAAGTAAAGTTCTTGATTGTGATTTCTAATTGGGACTTTGGTGGATGCTGCACAGGCTCGAAGGGAAAAGATTAGTGAAAGGATGAAAATTCTTCAGGATTTGGTCCCTGGTTGTGATAAGGTATTGTTTTTGTACAGGTCTAGTTTTGTTGCACGAATGTGTATGCATAATTAAAAAAAAAATTATGGGTTGGAAAAGAACAATGTTATCTTTTGGATGTTTATATGTGCACGTCTCTGTCAAGATGACCATATTGATAACACAATGGAAAATTATTCGTGATTATCGGTATGGTTATGAATTTATAATTCATGGAAAGTGTGAATTGACATACGTTCTCTGATTTAGGTTATCGGGAAAGCGTTGGTCCTTGATGAAATAATTAATTATATCCAATCTCTTCAGCGCCAAGTTGAGGTAGATATCATTGCTTTTTATTATTTTCTTATTTTTGCTCAATTAAAATCTTTCTTAAATTTATTTATGTCTGTTTTGAAACTGATTTCGAGGATTTTGATGTTACTGGATGGATGTCACAGTTTTTGTCAATGAAGCTTGAAGCAGTGAATTCGAGACTGAACTCCGAAGCCTTTCCTCCTAAGGATGTAAGTCTTAAACACTCTTGCTTTTTATATTGAATTTCTGAATGTTAAATTCTTCTTTTTGACAAGACATCTGTTCAATTCTACCTGTTATGTTTCTAGGATTGCTGTTAGGGTTGAACTATCGCTTTTATAGATACTGTTTCTGTCTTAAGAGTTTGTTTCATTTGCAAACTTGTTTATTGGGTACTTGGGAAATTTTTTGGGTGAATGTTAGTAGAGTTCAGTTTTTCATCGTTGTTGAAAGATCTTGAGTATTAAAAGCCATGAATTTTGATTCCAGTTTGGTCAGCATGCATATGATCCCGCGGGCATGCCGTTCGGTTCACAAGCTCCAAGAGAGTATAGCAGAGGATCTTCACCTGAATGGTTACACATGCAGGTAGGAGGAGGTTTTGAAAGAACAACGTAGTGTATGAGATCCATGGTAATAAATACAGAAAGCAGAGGTATTTGGTCCTTCATTAGCTTCCAGAAACAGGCATGATAGACTCAAGAAGCAAGTCCAATGGGCACCTCATTCCCATTTTCTACACTAGGCATGGAGCTGTTACTGTGTTTCACAGGACTGCTTCAGTTTTTATTTAAGCATCTCCATATGTTTGGTGTGTTGGAAAATGAATTCATTTACTCAATATGTAGTATAGTGGACTTTTTAGGCTTTGTATTCTGTACTCAACACGGCCCTTAAAATGATCATTCTTCTTGTAAAAGAATGCTGCTTCTTCTTAATACATGATGCTTACATATTGTGTAATAGTCTCAATAATGTTTGCAAAGCAATGTTGAATAAAGTAACCTAGTCACTTTTGTTTCTGACTTTTTTTAGTTTGTTTAATGCACAAGATCTTAAAGACTTTAAACACTTTAATCTAATCTAAGGTGAAGGTCAGGATGGGGACCTAATAGGGAAAATAATTGTTCAGTTGTTAGATTTGGTTTCGGTGTAGTCGCTATGTTACATTGCAACAGAAGTTGCACCATTGATGTCAGAGAAGGATATGCCCAAGGAGAAATTTGGGATAGGGAAAAAAGAAAAAAAAATAGAACACTTCATTTAATAACTATTAAGTCTAACAGTACTACTCTTTTTTTTTTCAATAAAACCCTAATCTAATATTAGATTCCTAGCAGGAGTTGATGTAGCAACTCGTTATTTTCAACACATTATTAAATGTTACAAAATCACGAGTGAAATTCATAATTAAGAAACCCACCGTGTGATTTTATATTTGATAAAGTAGTGTGGATAAACGTGAAGGGATTTAGAGAGATAAAACTTTTGTATGGCATATGGTTATAGAGTTTGATGGAAAATCTCCAATTTTAAAAATGACATTTTTACAAGATTATAAGTGTTGTTTTACCATTTTGAACCAATTCATGAAGAAAATATGGTCTTGTTAAGGTGGATTGTACATGCTCATTGGGATATCATACATGCTGGTAACACGCTTTAATTTAGCAAGCTCGAATGAATGGATTTTCAACATTATGATTTACTATCTTTCCACATTTTACATGATGCACATTTTTATGGTATTGTGACAAATAAGGGCTCAAGAGTTACACGTGATTCAATTGTGATGTCATCGTACAGGTGATTTCATCTCTACATGTGAAAAATGATTCATAAACACCAAAAAGTACATTAACTCATAATATACACTAAGAGAGTAAACAAAAATATAAATTTATAGATTATATGATGTAATAAAAAGAGAGAAACAGAAAGAAAATTAAGTATATAATAGATGTAGATAAAAATTAAGGTGTCCATATTTCATTATTCTTTTACTTATACTTTTGGGCAGTGAACATACTACATTACCTCTAAACTAAACAATACTATAGAAATGGTTTTGTAATGTAGATATTAGAATAAATATATATTTGTTACACAAATTTTCTATTGGGAATGACTAATAATCCTCTATTGTAATTCCTTTATTATGTCATTCAAGCTTGTCTAGAGAAGGATTAAAGAATTTTTAACATTACAAAATACGTTAGGTTATTTAGCTTCTGTTAATTTCTTTTTTGACTTGTACTTGGGTTTCTTAGTCTTCTATATTCACTAAAAATGTATTATTGGTTCTATTGTATATCTCAAAATTTCATTTATTGTTTATAACAACTTTGGATATAAGTGAGTTTCAACTGTCTTCTCATAAATTAATAAATTTAAAACGTTAGTAGATTATATTTGGTTAAGAATTTCTTAATTACATAAGCACCGATCTCTCTTAAGACAATATAATGTAGGACACAACTCAGTACGTTCTAAGTACTTGTACGTGAGTATGTCTAATATACATGGTATGTGACTATTATTAGACAGTCTGACAGATTATCTATCAACACCATTTAGTTAAGGACTCACAAACCTAATAAATTATATTATAAATGTTCTCATTAATTACACATTTAATATTCTTGATGTTAGCGTTAATTACACATTTAAACATTAATTACACATTTAAATTTTCTTGTTAATTACATATTTAATTCAGTAAGGACTCACAAACATAATAAATTATATTATAAATGTTCTTATTAATTACACATTTAATACTACTGACATTAGCGTTAATTACACAATAAAATGTTTTCATTAATTATACATTTAATATAGCTGACGTAATCGTTAATTTCACATTTAATACTCATAATTACACATTTAATACTCATAATCCATCTTACAAAAAACTAGTACTGAGGAGGAAAAGAACAAATACTTTAAAAAATAAAGGTTAAAGAAATTCATGGAATTAAAATTTTACAAAACACTTCTATGACTATATAATTCATAAAAATACATTAATTTATTATAGAGATTGTTAAGAAGTGGATTTTAAACCTAACTCAACCTTAGCAGGTGAAATAATATGTCCCAACAAACAACAAATATTGTTAAGATAGACTCTAACCATAGCTTTGATACCAATGTTAAGAAGTGAATTTTAAGTCTAACTCAACCCCACAAAAATGGCTTTTAAGGTGAGGTTTACACCTATTAATATACTATAAATTGGTTTTATCTCTAGTTGATGAGTGACTTCCAACACCCTCCTCACGCCACATCTTGAGCGTGAAACTAGACATTAATGAGTGGTCCGATAACGGCCTACTACATGAATTAATATGTCTCAACAAACAACAAATATCACTAGGATAAACTCTAATTATAGCTCTAATACCATGTTAAGAAGTGGACTTTAAACCTAACTCAACCCCACAAAACTAGCTTGCAAGGTAAAGTTTGCACTCATTTAGATACTGTAAAAAAGAAAAAATTACTCAATTTTGATTCTCCAAAATTTATCTATTTTATAAGATTGAATTGACTAAAAAAAGAAATTAATAATTTTATATAGTATTGTCATGCTTAGTGTGTGACTCGTTAGTTTTTTAGAATGATTCAAAAAAAAAACCGATTAATAATATCAATTCATTTAAAAAGAACTAATAACCAACACATCACTTCGGATTATCTAGATCTAAAGAATAAGTCAAAAGAAAAAAGATTGAATAAAAAAATATTATAACAACTGAAAAATTGTGAAACATAAAATAAAAAAAAGATTATTTAGTTGTAAAG